CAAGGAGGTCTCTGGGATGTGGGGATGGATTAGTGGTGGCCTTGGCAGTGCAGGGGGAACGGCTGGACTCAATGGTCTTGGAGGTTTTATCCAACCTTAATGATTCCATACCTGCTGCTAACTCTGAGCTGCTCCAGCTGACAGAGCAGATCCTCTGGAAGCACTAACCCTGCTCCAGATCCTCTGGAAGCACTAACCCTGCCCCCTGCAGCTCCAGAGCACTCGCTCCATGAATGGTTTTGGTCTCTCCCCAGTCCCACCTGGCTCCTCTGCCCCACACCCCCAGGCCTGCAGCAGGTACTCACACGAAGTGGGCAAAGATGGTGTCCCCCATGAGGCCTGACAGGATCAGATGCTTCTTGGTGATGTCGTAGACCGGCAGCTCCACCCCCACCACGATGGCCGCTCGCTGGGCCGTGGGGACAACACCCTGTGCAGCACGGACACTGTCACCAACCGCAGCCACATCCCCTGCAGGGCCATCTCCTGACAACCTTCCCTGGACCCTCCCTGCAAGCACACCAACTGCTTCCCAGCTTTGCTTCAAAGCCAAGGAGGATGTCTCCACCCTGGCAGCTTTATTCCAGCTGGATTAACTCCACACAGCTTCCCTGCTCCCAGCACCAGCACACAGGAACTAGGCTGTCACCCCCTCACTTTCTCCGCACCAATTTCAACACCAGAAGAGATTCTGCTCCACAAGAACAGCAGTTTAAGGAGCCAGGAGGGGCCCCAGGGGCTCTTGCTACAGAACAACAGGACAGCACCTGCTTCCCTAAGATTTTTCTTAGTTCTGCTGCTGCTGGTGGGGGATTCTAGGAGCTGGTGCTCACCCTCCAGAGGCCTCGGGTACCTTCCTGCTGGTAGATGTCAATGAAGCTGCCAATCATCCCACCCTGGAACAAGCTGCCCTGAGCCTGCATTCGGATCTGAAAGAAAAGAAGAGTCAGCAGGTGGACATCAACACCAGCACTTGCCCACAGGGACAGCAGCTCCATGGAAGTCCTGGGAGAAGGAACAGAGCAGCTCAGAGCACACACTGTTCTCCATGTCCCCCTCCCTGCAAACCACATGGACAAGGTTGGCAGCACGCAGAGGCAGCAGCAGGGTGGGGGCACAGGAACAGGAGGAACAAGGCCTTCCCCCTGAAAGCAGTTCCAGAAGGGGAATCTATGCAGGGAGAAGAGAGGTAAGTTCTCCAGGCTCTCTCTGCCCAGCGCAGGGCTACCCTGAGCCCAGGGCACCAGGCAGTCCCCACTGGGCTCTGCTCACTCCATATAACAGGCAGGCCCTTGGGGCAGTGCCAGCACCATGACCAAGGGAGCAGGAGCAGCTGGCTGCCACCTGCTCACCTGGCCCAGGTTGGTAACACAGCTCCCATCCCTCACCAGGACAAATGTCATGATCCTTGTTGCCCAGAGAAGCTCTGGCTGCTCCATCTCTGGAAATGTTCCAGGCCAAGTTGGACAGGGTTTGGAGCAACCTGGTCTAGTGGGAGGTGTCCTTGCCCATGGCAGGAGGTGGAAGGAGATGGTTTGATGGTTTTTCATGTCCGTCCCAACCCAAACCATTCCAAGATTCTGTGATCTTTAAGAGCTGTATTTTTAAACATCTATTAATGACCTTGGGCTTTGGACTCCATTAATTAAAAAAGCCCAAACAAGCAGAACTGGTGGCTCAGGGAGCACTGAGCTGCTCCTCCCACAGGTCCCACAGCCAGGCAGGAGCAGCCCTTACCTTCAGCACATCTGTGGGATTGGCCAGCGCAGAGGAGATGACCCCGGAGACCACCCCACAGATCACATTGATGAGCAACGTTTCATCTGCAAGCAAGGAAAGAAGGTCAGACCCTCACAGGTGGGGGCACAGTAGGAGGGAACCAGGGCTGGGTAGAGCAGCTCAGTTCTCAAATCACACGGTGAAGCTGCAGGAGCAGGGCCTGGGCAGGTGCCACAGCCTGTGACAGGTCTGTCCCCACACCTGTCAGAGACAGAGGTGGCAGCTGAAACATCAGCAATGCACTCTCAGAGGGTCTGACTGATGAGAAGGAAAATCCTGGGACAGATAAAAATTGTGAACAATTATCTGAGATTTCTCATTGCAGGGATGAGCCAGGACAGAGGCAGAGAGAGAGGGACAACCCAGCATTTCCCCAGACCCCTGGATTTGCCTACACACAGCCAGTTGGAGCCAGCTGAGGATCAAGAACAGGCAGGGAGTTAGATGTGATTAGTGCCAGGGAATAACCCCAGATTCCAGGCCCGGTGTTAGGGTGATGGTTACATTGGGAAAACACACAGGCCTTTGCTGGTACTGACCACGACACTTCCCAGAGGACACCAGGCCACTGGCTGCCCCAGGCCTGTAGGGAGACAAACATTCAGGCATGGAGCTCACAGCTGAAAAGGCTGGAACAGTGAGGGGGTGTGGGGACACAGAACCAGGCAGGGAGAGGCCTTACTGAAGCAGGACAGCAGCCCTGAAAGGACCTCTAGAGTCACAGAACCTCCTGAGATGGAAGGGTTCCACAGGGATCACCCAATCCTGGCCCTGCACAGACCCCTCAACAATCCCACCCTGTGCCTGGAAGTGCTGTCCAAACACTCCTGGAGCTCTGGCAGCCTTGGGGCTGGGACCATTCCCTGGGGAGCCTGGGCAGTGCCCAGCACCCTCTTGGGGGAAAAAACCTCCTCCTGATACCAACCTAAACCTCCCCTATGACAGCTTCCTATCATTAGTGTGCTGCATTTCACCCGCCCATCCCGCTTTCCCAGGTTGGAACGGCATTACAATATTCCCTCATATCACAGCAGGGATGGAAATCTCACCTGCAGATCTTGGTGCTCCCTCAGGGAACATCCACCAGACTCTTGCTGCTCCACTCCCCAGGCAGGAGCTGCAGAGGGCACAGGTCAAGGGCACTGGTGGAACCTCACCTTTACAGTCACGGCCAAAGGCACAGAGCTGGACAGCAAAATTCCTATCCAGAACATGCCTGGCTGTGCCAGGGGAGGCTCAGGTTGGACATGAGGAGGAATTTCTTCATGGAAAGGATGGTCATTGGAAGGGCCTGCCCAGGGAGGTCTGGAGTCCCCATCCCTGGAGGTGTCCAAGGAATACCTGGATGTGGCACTCAGTGCTCTGGGCTAGGGACAAGGTGGGGATCGGACACAGGTTGGACTTGGTAATCTTGGAGATCTTTTCCAACCTAAAGGATTCTGTGATTCTCCTATGATTCCATGAAAGGAAGGAACCTGGCTGGAAGGAGGTGTTTGGGTAGGGACCACAGGCAGTGCAGAGCACAGCGAGGTTCCCATCGGGATTGAATCCAATCCTTGTTCTCACTGGCAAACAAAACCGCAGCACCCAGTAATGGAGCTCCATTCCTGTGGGAATCTTGGGGTGGGAAGGACAGAGCAAGGAATGAGCAGAACACACAGCCCAGAGTGTGAGGCAGGGGAGCTGGGAGGTGCCCCTGCTGCCCATCCCCAGCACCGACCTTCCATGCGATCGACGAAGAGCCGCTTCAGGCTCTGGTAGATCCCGATCTTGATGGTGCCGTAGGATGCCTGCCTCAGCAGTGCCGGGGCGATCCTGAGGGGGAATGGACCCTGAGCATCCCTGCGGGCCAGCCCGGACCACTCCCCACCCGCCCTTAAACTGCCAGGGCCAGGCACAACCCCGCTGGGGCTCCGAGAAACGCAGCTCTGCCCAGGTTATCCGGGATTGCCCCACGCACGCCAGTGCCAGGGGATGGCACCCACGCAGCCCTGGCCTTGCTCCCCGCCTCGGGAACACCGGGAGACTCCGCTCAGGGGGACAAGGCAGGGAGGGATCCAGGGGGTCACAGGAGCACACAGGAAATGGGGACTCAGGACCGGCAGGGAGCAAGGGAGCGGAGGGATGCCGTGACAGAAGGTGGAAGAGAGGACCCGGGCTGCGGAGGGGGTGCCGGGACAGAGGCAGGGCGGGGCGGGCAGAGGGAAGGAAGGCGGGGTGGGTGGGGGAGCCCCGGGGTGCAGGAGAGGTCCCGGGGCGGGCGGAGGGAGATGCCGGGATGGAGGGGCGAACACGGCAGACGGGGCGAGGCTGCGGCCGAAGAGGGAGCCCAGCACAGGCGGTGGAAGCGCCGGAGCCGGATCCGGGGCAGGCACCGGGGGGGCCCGGTGGGTGCAAGGAGGAGCCGGGCAGGGGGAGGACCCGTGGCAGATGGGCGGGTGTCCCGGTACGGATGGATGAGGCCTCGGGGGAAGCGGGGCCCACTGCCGATGGGCCCCGAGGGGCCCGGCCCCGGTGCTCACCCCGAGTACAGGGCCCGTCCGCCCTCCTCGCGGCAGATGCGGAAGAGCGCGTGGAACATGCCCCGGTACCGCACCTCGCGGAACCGCGCGTCGGTGCTCTGCCCCTGCACCTGCAGCCGCGTCTTGGTGAGGTCCACGGGGAACGTGCCTGCGGGGACAGCGGCCTCAGCGCCCGCCGCTACACGGCCCGGTCCCGCCCGGCCCGGTCCCGCCCGGCCCGGCCCCTGCGCCTCACCGAACTCGGCCACGATGGAGGCGAGCCCGCCATACACGAAGGGTTTCCAGTTGAGCGCGGACATCGCATGGCGGGCGGACACCGCCGCGCGCGCCGCCGCCACCGGGCCGGGACCGGAACCGGAACCGGGCTCCGCCGCGCCGCGCCGCGCGTGCCCCCTGCCGGCACCGCGCCGGGGGAAGCCGCGGGGGCCGCTCCGCCCCAACCCCGCCGCACCCCCGGCTTCGTCCGGGGCTCCGGGGCGGAAATCCCCCCTTGCGCCTACAACCGGCACGGACCGGACCGCAGGGATTACTCGTTACCGGAACCAAATCCAGCTAAAGTCCCTCCCTTCTCCGCCCTGCGAATCCCGCACTCCAGCGCTCCCGGCTTTCCAGCCAAATAAGCCTAAAATCAATGTAAGAAAAACAGATGACACCTCCTGCCTGGCCACAGACAGGAACACTGCTCCCGGAACCAGCTTCTCCCTAACAGGAACTTTTATTAAGAAACATTTAAACAAATCCATGACAAATCACCCCAGCACAGCAGTGTATCCCTGTGGATACATCATGGAATTCCAGATGACGCTGGGTTGGCACAGGGCCCAAACCTGGCCCAGGAGGCCAGAGGAGACACCCAGCAGCAACCTCTGCCCCCAGAGCAAGAGGGGGACGCTGCCCTAAGGGATTTAGGGAAGGGGAGCATCCTGCTGCTGCTCCCAGCCTTCACTGCTTGGCACCCTCCTTGGTCACAGGACAAACCGCTGTCCCAGCCAGCAGAACGGGCAGCGTGGAGAGCCCAGCCCAGGGTGGGATGAGAGGCAAGGGGAAGCTCCCAGGTGAAAGGTCCAGCCGCAGCATCCCAGGAGCCTGGAGCAGGTTTAGGCAGGCTCAGAGCCTCCCTCACCGCAACGCTCACCGAGGGCTCAGCAGCGGCTGGAGTCTCTGCCAGAGCCCCACTCCCTGTGCCTGGAATGGGGCTCCCGGGATCTGCCTCCCCTGGGGGACCCGTCTTGCCGGCTGCTGTGCCCATCGCCCCTCCTGCCAGCCTCCTCCCTCCTCTCCCGCTCCTCCCAGGAGCTGCTCTGGCCCCTCTGCTCGCGGCAGTTCTTGTCCCCCCTGCTGTCCGAGTGCCGCTGGTGCCGCCGCTGCTCCTCATCGCGCTGCGTCCTGCTCCCGGCGCTCCTGTCGGTGCTCCCGGTGCTCCTGTTGGTGCTCCCGGCGCTCCTGTCGGTGCTCCCGGTGCTCCTGTCGGTGCTCCCGCCAGCATAGCGCTCGTACCCGGGGTCCTCCTTCTCCTTCTTGATCTTGATCCTGGGATGGGGCTCCTCCGTGCTCACCCGCTTCCCAGCCTGTGGGCTCGACTTTGACCGTTCTGCTCTGCTCCGCTGCTTCTCTGGAATTAGGGTTCACATTTCGGGATGGACAAAACTCCAGGAGCACCTTGCTCCCCATGGCTTCCCTGCAACCATCCCAACTCCTCTTCCACTACAAATTCTTCCCCTCCACCCAGTTTCCCAGCCTGCTTCCACCTCAGGGAGATTCCAGTCCACTTCCAATCGCAACTTTTTCTCCTCCAGCTGCAGCTACCCCACTTCTCTCTTCAACATACACATCATGTTCTTCCCAGCAAAGCTGGGCATTTCCACACCACCTGGAATGCTGAGAACTTCCAACTTCCCTTTCCTCAGTAATACTATGATCCACTTTGTGGAAATTATCTCTCCAGACCTGAGGACTCTTCCCTCATGGCTCTCCTTCTCCCTCATTTTTGAGCATCTTCTCAGCACTCTGTCACAACATCTTATTTCCACCCTCATTTTGTGCCCATTTTTGTTCCTCCAACCGTCCCTCCACACAGACTCCAGCCCCCAAACCCTACCATGGGCACGCCCACCTGGGATCCAACCTGCCAGGAACACTCCTCACCTTTCTGCTTTTTCACGGGCACCTCCTCATCCTCAGACAGGGAGTCGGACGAGGTGTGAGGTGGCGTTTTCACCCCGCAGCCCTTGGCATCGAGGGCTCTAGTCACGTCATCCCAGTCCTCAGACTCCTTGGGGGGCCGGTAGTTGGCCACATGGTCCACGCGGATGGTCCGTCCCTTGATCTGCGGGGCCGGGCTGTCACCGCCAGCTCCCGGCTCCCAGGGCCCGCTGCCGACCCGAGGGAGCACTCGGGGAGCCACGGCAGCACCTGAGCTCCACTCACCTTGATCCCATTGAAGTTATCCACAGCCAGGATGGTGCTTCTCTGGTCCTCATAGCACAGGAAGCAGAAGCCCTTGGACTTCCCGGTCTTCTTGTCCCGCACGAGGTTGATGTTGACCACCTCGCCGTACCTGTGGCACACGCACCGTCAGCACCGCGGCAGCGCCCGCAGCGGCGGGGCCGGGGCCGCGGCACTTACTGCGAGAACACGCAGATGACATCGCCCTCCGTCAGCGCGTAGTGCAGCCCGCCTGCGGGGACAGGGGAGGGAAGGAACGGCTCACCGGCACCGGCACCGCCCCCGCCCCGGCCCGCTCCCTACCCACAAAGATCCAAGCGCTGTCCTTGTACTCCGCGTGCCACGACACCGCCTCCTGCACGCCCAGCTCCGCCTCCCGCGCGTTCAGCTCATTGATCAGCTTCACCTTCGTCAGGGGGCTGCGGGCGAGGCACCATCAGCACCGGCACCGGCGGGACAGGACCGAGCCCAACCTTCCCCCACACCCCTCACACCTACTTCATGGCGGCGGCAGCGCGCACTGCGCCTGCGCAACGCACCGCCCCGCCCCGAGCCGAGGCGGACGCAGCCGATAGCAGCCGAGTGGGGCCGATTGTAGCCGAGTGTGGCCGAGTCGGGCCGATTGTAACCGAGTCAGGGCAATAATTCCCGAGATAGCCCGAGCACGGCCGAATCGGGCCGATTGTAGCCGAATCGGGCCGATTGTAGCCGAATCGGGCCGATTGTAGCCGAGCGCTACTCGCCGAGCGGGCCGATCGCGGCCGAGCCGAGCCGATCGCAGGCGGTAACGCAAAGCAAGAGTCGGGGCGCAGGGGGCTCAGAGCCTTTATTGGGGTCCGGGCGGGTCCCGCTCAGCACGGGCAGGAGCCTTTCCCGCTGGCCTCCTCCAGCCGCCGGGGCTGCGGCTGGGGCTGCGCCGGCCAGCCCTCCGTGTCCCGGCAGGGCAGCGAGCGCTGCGCCTTCAGCCGGCACACCAGGCACATGAAAATCGCGTCCACGTTCTGGCTTTCCTGTGGGTCCTTGGCCGAGGTCTCAAACAAAAGCATGTTGTGAGCGTCGGCGAACTTGAGGGCCAGGCTGGATGGCACCTGGATCAGGTCTTTCAAGTCACACTTGTTCCCCACCAGCACCCTGGGGACGAGCGGGGGCACCGCGTGCCCGTTGCACTCCTCGATCCACGTCTTGAGGTTGGTGAAGGAGCTCATCTTGGTCACGTCGTACACGAAGACCACGGCATGCACATTGCGGTAGTAGTGCTCCACCATGCTCTTCCGAAACCTCTCCTGGCCAGCTGTGTCCCACACTTGCACCTGGGAAGAGAAGCAGACAAGAAAAGACGCTACAGGAGTGTGGAGCCTGGCCCTGGCAAGGCTATGGAGAGGGGGTTGCAGGAGGGCTTCCTGCTCTCTGGGCATGGCTTGGACTGGAAAGGAACTTAAAGATGATACAGTCTAACCCCTGCCATGGGCAGGGACACCTTCCACTGTCCCAGGTTGCTCCAAGCCCTCTCCAACCTGGCCTTGGGCACTGCCAGGGATCCAGGGGCAGCCACAGCTGCTCTGGGCAGCCTGTGCCAGGACCTCCCCATCCTCACAGCCAAGAATTTCTTCTTAATATCCAATCTAAACCTGCCCTCCTTCAGTTTAAGGCCATTATCCTGTCCTCCATCCCTTGTCCCAAGTCCCTCTCTGGCTCTCTTGGAGCCCTTTTAGGCACTGGAAGCGTGTCTAAGGTCTCCCCTGAGGCTTCTCTTCTCCAGGCTGAATAAACCCTGCTCTCCCAGCCTGACTTCAGAGGAGCTGCAGACCTCAGAGCATCTTTGCATCCTCCTCTGGACTAATTCCAACAGATCCATGTCTATTTGTGCACCAAATCCTACGCCATGAATGAGAATGCTGACGATTTCACAGAGGAAAAGAGAAAATGAGGAGGGGGAGCCACCCTTTGTGTAGGAGTACAGTGGGAGGGCCAGGAGCTCTGTGGGGATGGGTGAGGAGCCAACAGAGCTCATGGGGGAGGATTAAAGAATGAAACATCACAGATGACATTGTAGGGGGTCTTGGCTATAGACCACCTGGCCAGGAAGAGCAAGCAGATGAGATGCTCTGCGGACAGTGAGCAGCAGCCTTGTGTTTGCAGCCCCTGGTTCTCACTGAGAACTTCAGCTGCCCCAATATCTCATGGAAGAACAGCACAGCAGAGCACAGGCAATCCAGAACATTCCAGGACACCATCGATGACAACTTCCTGGCCCAGGTGACAGAGATGCAAGGAGGCCTCTAGGCTGGATGAGCAGACAGTGAGGGAACTGGCTGGATGTCATCTGCTCCTAGACAGTGCTGGCCAGTGATACCAAGTCTGGCTGAACATTGGTAACCAGCAGAGTGCCCCAGGGGTCAGTCTGGGTTCTCCTGGTAATGTTTTGTAGCCTGGAAGTGGCAATTTCCAAGTTAATCCAAACTGCCCTGTACCCATGGAGACAGTACCTGCCTTGGAGTCTTTCCAGCTGAAAAACGCTGGCAGAGCAGAGCTGCTGCTCAGCCCTTTCAGAGCCAGTCTCTCCCAGGCAGAGCAAGAGAAGGAGGGTCCTTGTCCCACCTCTCACCTCCTCTCTAGATACATATCCCAGGAAATGGCCGGTTTGCTGCACTGCCTCCCACTCCTGCCCACTGGAGCTCAAATAATACCCAAAGGTAGAAAACCTGGTAACATTTTCCGGCTAGTGGCAGCAAACAGGCTCCATGCCAGCCTGCACCACAGCTCACACCAGCACAGAGCCAGGGAGGGCAGGGAGAATGAGCACCTCTAAAGGAGAGGGGGAAAAACATTCATGGACAGCCTAGAAGCACAGCTAAAGCTCTCACCCACCAACACAAGGTTGGGTTTCATTGTGAGTTCAACTTTCAATCAGCCATCTGTCAGTACAGCAGTGATGTTTGTTCTTCCAGCACCAGCCTGATCCCCACAGCTGGGCAGGCCAAGCTCCCCCACAAACTCTGCTCCTGGGTGGTTTCCTACCAGTGGCAGATTTGCTCTGACACACCAGCCAGAGCTCTTCAGGTCTGGGCTGATCATTCTATTCTTTACAGGTGTCATGCCAGTCTTCCTAAGAAAATTCATCCTGCTGCAATCGCAGTTCCAGGTGCAGCTGGGAGCAGGTTCCTGCACTGCTGCTGCCACCACTGCTGGCCCTCTCAGCCTTCCAGTGTGGCTGCTGCCAGCCCACCACTCTCTGCCCCCAGATTCCCTGGCTGTGGCACAGAGTCCTGTCCCCCATCCCACCACAGCTCTACCCCTCTGCTGGTCCCGTGTTGGGAGCTGGAGCCACCCCAATGCTGCGAGGATCCAGCTGTGCCCATCACAAGGGTGGCAGTGACTCACCCTGAGCCATCACTTCTGATCTCTGCACGCTCAAGCCAACCCCAGAAATAGTGACAAGGCAGCAGGGACTGGTCCAGGGCCATCTCTGCAACACAGGGATGAGAATTCTTCCCTGGCCCTGTTCCCTCTCTCCGAGTAGGATGAAAGGAAAAGCCCCCAGGAGGGGTTTGGCAAGAGGCAGGGATGGGGACCGGCTGCCATCGCTGCTGGGGCCGGTGCGGGGCCCACCGGGGACAGAGCGGGGCCCACTGGAACCGGTGTGGAACCCACAGAGGGCGGAGCGAGGCCGCCGGGAGCCAGCGCACGGTGCGGGACCCACCGGGGGCTCGGCGGGTCCCTGGGGGCCGGTGTCAGCCGGCCCGGAGCCGGTGCGGGGCCCACCTTGATGCGCTCCCCCTCGATCTCCACCGTCTTCTCGCGGAAGTCCACGCCGATGGTGGCCTCGGTCTTGCCGGGGAAGGTGCCCCCGCAGAAGCGGAAGGTCAGGCACGTCTTGCCCACGTTGGAGTCTCCGATCACGATGATTTTGAAGATGCGGGTCTGCACGTAGGGCTCCAGCGCGGGGTCGGGGCCCGGCGGTCGCCCTCCGCCGCCGCCGCCCGCCGCCATCCCTCCCGCACCGCTGCCGCCTCACCGGCTCATAGGGGCGCGTCGCCCCGCGGAGCGGCTGCGGCACTGCACGGCACCGGGTCCGCCCCGCCGACCGGCACCGGCACAGCGCCGGGTAGCGGCACCGGCGCCGCTCGTCTCCGCCCCACACCCCGGCTACGGCACGGCTCGTCCCCGCCCCGCGGACCGGCACCGGCACAACACGGCTCCACCCCACGCACCGGCACCGGCACAGCCCCGCCCCACACACCGGCTACGGCACCGCGCGGTCCCGCCCTGCGTAGCGGCACCGGTGCAGTCCCACGTAGCGGGACCGGCACCACACGGTACCGCCCCACGCACCGGCTACGGCGCGGCCCGTCCCCGCCCCGCGTAGCGGCACCGGCACCGCGCGGCTCCGCCCTGCGCTCCCCGCTCTGCGCCGGTGCTGACCCGGCTCCAGACCGGCACAGAGCGCCTTCAGCCTGGGCCGATTCCCAGCGGAGCGGCGGGGACCGGCAGGGCTGCGGGAAACGGGCCTGGCCCCTCCCGGGAGGGAGCAACAGACCGAGGGGCACAGCGAGGCGGGACCAGACAACGGGGGACACCGGGGGACACCAACACCCGCACGTCCCCAGTGCCAAGAGGTGCCAGTGTCCAGCTGGGCAGCCACAGCACCCGTGTGCCAGCTTCAGAGAGACCGGGAAGGGGACGTGTCCCTTCTGCCCCCAGAAACAGGGCAGTGGGGCGCCAGCACCTACGGCATGGGAGCACGGGGGCTTCAGCAGGAAGGATGCACACAAGGATTGCAGAAGTGAGGGGAGCAGGTGACAATCTGCAGGAGGAGAGGAGAGCCATGGCAGGAAGAGATGAGGGGACTCAGGTCAGCTGGAGTAGGACATCAGGCAGTGGCACAGCAACAGTGGCAACGGGAACCGATAGGAACATGGGACAGAGCACCCAGGGCTGCATTGCTCCTGCTCACACAGCCCAAGTGATCCCAAAAGAACCCAGGCCCCCAAAATAGGCCTCTGGAAGATGACTCCTCCAGTGCCAGCACTGATGGGACCTGCAGGAGCCAGAGGCTGGGAAGGATTTACCAGAGACCCCCAGTGGTCACCACCACCCCAGGGTGTCAGTGCTCATCTGCTTCCAGCAGCATGGACACGAAACAGGGTTCACTAAGCCTTGCAACAGGTGGAAAAGCCTCAGAAAGCTGAATCTGATGAAACACATTCCCCCCTTTCCCATTCTGGTCACATCTACAGGTCCTGCACTGCTGAATGAGACACACTGTCCCACCATGCACCATCCTCCCCTAGGAATAAAGAGCAGCCACACAGGATTGTCCCCACTGAGGCTCAGACTAGTTTTGGCCCACAAAGGGAGCTCAGCTGAGAGACCCAATGGGCCCACAGAACCATTTCTGACCACCCCCAGCTACTTCTGACCTGGCCAAAAACCTGTGGACCAAAAGTGAGATGAGGACATTGCAGAGTGACCGTTCATCCATCTCCCTGTGCAAGGACACAATACAACACAACACAAGGAGGCCCAGGACCAAGCCCATCTCTCTTCAGGGCTTGCTTCATCCTTCCTGCTCAGGCTGGCTTCCCATCCCTCCACACCACCACCAGGAATGGGAGGAAAGTGATTTTAAACAGAGACATGTTTTCCAGGAGTTCCTGGAAGTTTTTATTCACAGAAGCTGTTTGTCAGGGACTTGAGTTTCTTGCTTTCTCTTCTTCATAGTTTCCAACTTGCCCAGCCTGTGGAACAAGATGCCAGTGTCAGGTCCCAGCTGCCTCCCCTCAAAGGGACATGGCTTTCCATCATAGCGTGCCAGGAATGTCAGACCAGAGAGATCCCTCTCTCCTGGCCCGACAGCCAGCCGGGACAGCAGCTTGTCTGCTGTGTGTGGGACCACAGGCTGCAGGAGTGTCCCGTACACACGCAGGCACTCCAGCGTGACGTGGAGGATGGTGTCCAGCCAGAGCTGCTCTGCAGCATCCCTTCGGTCCAGTTTCCAAGGCTTGTGCCTCTGGAAGAATCCGTTGGTCTGCCTCACACACTGGGCAATGCATTCCAAAGCTTTGTAAATCTGGAAACCTTCGAAATAACTGTCCACCTGCGCAGGCAGCGAGGCCACTGCTGCCACAAGCTTGTAGTCCTCAACACACGCCCTGCCTGTGCCCCTTGCCTCCCTGGAATCCAGGACCTTTGGGAAACAGGGCTCTGAGAAGCGTGGGTAGGTGTTGCTGGGGTTAATGCTGGAGGCTGTTGAGCGATTCAGCAACCCCCCAAGTGCATCTGCCAGCTCTGAATTCACCAACTTCATCACCTTCTCATCATAGTAGTCACAATCCCTCTCCGGGACGCCCTGCCGCAGCAGGAAGTACCGGAACCCATCCACGCCGTACTGCCCCACGCACACGCTGGGGTCCACCACGTTGCCCAGGCTCTTGGACATCTTCTGGCCCCGCACAGTCCAGTGGGAGTGCACCAGGATGCGCTCAGGGGGCTCCAGCCCTGCCGCCAGCAGCAGCGCCGGCCAGTACAGCGCATGGAACTTGAGGATGTCCTTGCCCACGACGTGGTGCACGGCCGGCCACCACGCGCTGTGGCTCTCGGGGTACCCCACCACGCTCAGGTAGTTCACCAGGGCATCCACCCAGACGTAGATGGTCTGTGTGGGGTCATTGGGCACGGGGATGCCCCACTGCAGCCGGTTTCGCTCACGGGACACCGACAAGTCTGGCAAGTCCTCGTCCAGCCAGCGGAGCACGCACTGGTAGAAAGGGTCGGGAAAAATGGCACGCGGGTTGTCCCGGAGCCAGTTCTGCAAGGGATCCCGGAATGCTGAGAGCCTGAACATGTAATTCTCCTCCTTGGTCCAGTGCACCTGGGACAGCAGGAGAGGAAAGGATTATGGCCCCAAGAACAGGCTGACAATTTGCACACACTGTTCTCAGCAAGGAGGCTGTTGCACACTGTCTGTGTGTCCTCCCATGCCATGGGAAGCTGTCAGCACCTTTCTGTGACTAGCAGCAACCTTCTTAGCCAAGACACTGCCTCCTTGGGATCCCCAGGAACAAACCTGAGGACTCAGGCACCTGGGATGGTTCAGCATCCTGCTTCTAAAAGCACTGGTAACCGTGGGAAGGACCACCTTTCCACCTGCCTGGCTGATGTGACATCAGAAAGGAGTTAGGGAGATGAAAATACACCTTCTTGACAATGTGGTTTTTCAATAATAGTGGAAAATCATGAAAAGACAAAATGACACTGTAATTCCTGCCCTACTGCCACTCCTGGTGGCTCCCTTTGTTCTCCTGGGGCCATACTCCTCTTTTTCCTCAGTTTATGCTTTAATGCATCTAAGTCACTAACTTTGTTTGCTTACAGCACTGACAGCACTTCTCCCCCACAGTTAAATCCATTAAATGACACATTTAGCTAAACCAGTGAAAACGTGGTGGGTGGATGTGGTACGAGTGAGCTGTGTAAGGCACTCAGGCATCCATGGCTGGGTCAGCAGTCTTGCAGTGTACAAGGAAGACCAGAAGAGCATCATCAAAGACAAGCTGTACATCCTCAGCCCCAGGCTCCACTGGATGCCAGAATCCACTCATTCAGCAGAAGTCTGCCATGTGCAAACTCCCCCTTTTCATTCACAAATTATCCAAGGAACAAACTGCCCAACTGCCTCTTTCAGGTTGGAAATAAACCCTCCCATCCCTTCTCGCCACACTGCAAGAGCTTCTCTGCTCCATGCACACTCCTGTTTCCTTGGACAGTTCAATACACAGGCAAAGCCAGGAACTGTTCTCAGGGTATGCTTAACTTCGAAGTCTGCTGACTGTTTTAAGTCTAAAGAATTATTACTTTGCCTGGAAACTTATCTTTTCCCCAGTTAACTTAGGTGCTTTCTCAAGAGTTACTATTTGCCAATATAGCCCTTTCTGTGTGGACCAATGCTCCCACATCCCAGCCTCATACAAACAGCACAGGAGCATAACCTGTGCTGAGCTCTGAGCAGGATTATCTGTAGTTGCTAGATTAAATCATGTAACTGCACACCTCATAAGAAAAGAGTGGCAGAGACACTCGGGAAGGTACCACACTCCTGGGCATGTCCATGCTGGCTGACCACAGGCAGGTGATGTTACAGTGCTTTAGGCAGGGCCAAAACTTATTTAAGAGATGGGTAAGTGTCCAGAAGCACAAACAAGACTGAAAGTTGGAACCCCTCAGTGAAATACACCCTTATCCTCCTGTTCAGCTAACTTCTGTCATCACTCCAGATGTAGAACAGCATTCCCAGGCTGGCAGCCTGTGGACTCAGAAGGGGCTGAATCCTTCCTGTTGTACATAGCTGCAACGTGCACCTGCCAGGTGGGGTCTGGCAGCTCTCTGACGCTCCACTGAAATACAGGTGAGTCTCAGCCAACACAAATCAATAAAAGCCTACGGGAAGCATTGAACACCCCAAATCTGGCTGGAGCAGAGCAGCAGGTCCGTAGCCCGTTACCTCGTGGCCAGTCTCCAGGGACACCTTGCAGGGGCGGCCCTGGGCGTCCGTGCCCTCGGCCAGCTGGCTCTCGGGCAGGAAGCTCTCCTCGGGTGTGCAGTACCAGCCCTCGTAGGAGCCCTTGTAGAGCACCCCTCCATCGCGGAGGGCACCCCAGAAGTGCCTCACGGCTCGCCGGTGCCGGGGCTCGCTGGTGCGCGTGAAGTCGGTGTAGGCGACGCCGGCCTGGGTCAGGGCCTGGCGGAAGAGCCCCGAGACGCGCTCGCAGAGCTCCGCGGGCTCGGTCCCCGCCGCGGCCGCGGCCTGCTGGATCTTCAGCCCGTGCTCGTCGGTCCCTGAAACGGAGAGAGGCCGTGGGGAGAGGCCGGAGCCCGCGGCCCCGCGGGGACACAGGGGCCTGGGGACACGGGGAGAGGGGGTCAGCCCTGGGGGAGGGGGCCGGGACCGGGGGTCTCGCTGACCCGTGCAGAGCCGGGCCGGGCCGGCGGCGCGCAGGCGGCGGTGGCGGAGCAGCGCGTCGGCCAGCAGCGCCGAGTACAGGTGTCCGATGTGCGGCGGCCCGTTCGCGTAGAAGATGGGGGTGGAGAGCAGCAGGCGGCGGCCGGGCCCGCCGGTGGCGGCGCGGCGGAGCGGGCGCGGGAGGCGGCGGGGCGGCCGCCACATGTCGGCGGCGGCGGCGGCGGCACCATCGATGCGCCGGAAGCGGCGGGAGGCGCGTGCGCGGCGGGGCCGGGCCGGGCCGGCGGGACCGCGACCGAGGGACCGGGGACCGGCGACATGTTCCGCTGCCGCGCGGGCCTGG